ACTGTCTTCATCACCTTACACGAATAAATCCAACCTTTACAACCTTACAAAATGGAAAGCCAAGAGCCCAGTAGTTCATGAACGCTAAAGGAGAGATAGTCCAAGAATAAGTAATACCCATAATTCAATGTAAAATAATACAGTCCAACATTTTTATGAGACTTTCTCTCTATTCAAAGGACATAAGATAGCCCTGCTAAATTAAATCCTTTTGGTTTGAATTAAAACTAGAGTTCAAGTTTGCATGGCATTATTACCTGGTGCTTATAAGATAGTTAAGACAATTTCTAACTCCAAGACAGCTTGAAAAAGTGTTTCAAGTTGGAAAAATGCAACTTGAAGGAATTTGAGAATACAATAAGAACGTGTGGAATGAAGCAGAATAATGTAGTTCATTACTACAAAAGATTTTTAAGAAAACATGAGACTGAAAGTATCATAAAGGAGTTAGGACTTAAGTGGGGCCATTAAAAACCAGTGACTAGGACTTCCGGAGATGTAAAGGGGAAAGTAAAACACATCAACTGTGCCACGAAATAATTTTGGGGTAAAAACCAAGTATGAGAAGAGGGGGAAAGGATAGGTCTTTGTTGTGAGAAGTAATGGAAAATAAAGTGAACACCCAAATGTGTACACCCTGAGGAACCCTGGTAGCCTAGTGGTTAAATGTTGGGCTGCTATCCTCTAGGTCAGCAGTTTGAAACCACCAGTCAGATCTTTGGGAGAAAGATGAGACTTTCTTCTCTTGAAGTTAATCTTGGAAACCTGCCAGGGCAGTTCTACCCTGTCCTGTTGGGTCACTATGAGTCAGAATTGACTTGATGGCAGTGAGTGTGAATGGAATGCCATGAGGATAAAGGAGTTTGAACATTTTCTTGGGGACAGTGGGAAACTGTGGAATATATTTTTTTAATAAAGTAGCTTAGTCAGGCAGCTAGATAAAGAGACATACAAGAACAAGAAAAAATATACCTACTATAGTAAACTAGGCCTAAAACACTAAGGAGTTAACTGGAGCAGTAGGAGTAAAAAGAATTACTCATTAAGCCATTTAAAATAGAGTCTAATTTCTTGCTAGTTCCATGATAAAATTTTCCTTCCTGGCGTTAAAAATATTGATGGTGATACTTTCTTTCTTACTATTTGTATTTTTTATCTTTATATTATTATTTTATCCTTACCACTTTATTTTTGGTTTTATTGTTTGGTTTGGGTTTCCCAGTCTGTGAAGCACAGACATAGTAGAAGCATAGAGATAACAACTGACACAAGGGTTCATAGGGGATATGGGGGTAGGCAGTAGGAGCTAGGGAGGGTGAGGGAACTTGGAGAACAAACAATGAATTCGTTGGGGAAGGGAACACTAGAACTGATTGTGATTATACAACTCAATTTAAAAGTGATTTAATCATTGTATTAGTTATATAATTGCATGTCAACTTGATATATAGGTGTAGGGGTGGAGTCTAGCCTGTCAATCAGGTCGCAGCCTGATGATATCAGGCATGTGATATCATGCCTGAGGGCATAACCTTCTTTATGAGGATTCTGGAAACTTCCTTTCTCCCTGGAGGTGGTTCACACTCTCTGCTTCACCTTTCTGTGGGAGACACTCAGAGAGTTGGAGGAGCCAGTAATTAGATACTTCCACTGGCATTGGATCCCCAAGACTTTCCACCCCCATTCTGTGATCTTCCTGCATTCAGCATCGTTGCATATGCTGTGTGAGTCTGAAGAGGAACTTATGGACTAGAATTGGGCATATAGGCTAAGATTGGACTTATGGACTTGATCTGGACTGGGCTGTTTTCTCAATATACATTGCACTTGATATAAAACTCCTCTCTCTCCCGATAGATAGTCACTGAATTTGTTTCTCTAGGGAACCCGGAGTAACCCAACCATGGAAGTATATGATATGTGAATATTATATCAAGAAAACCATGGAGGGTAGGGGAGAAAAGAAACCAAAGATGAAAGGGAAAGAGTTGTGTAGGGGCATTGAATTTATATCAATAGTGGTAGAATAATTTGGAAAAGTGTATCAATAATAGCTGTACAGCACAGAGTGTAACTAATGACACTGAATTACACAAGTAGAATTTGTGGAATTGGAGAATGTTCTGTCGTGTATATTTTTGCCACAATTAAAAAAATAATAATTGAGTGAATAACAATGACTACAAGGAAGGAGAAAATGTTCTAGAATTGAATTGGTATGATACATATGACTTATATCAAGAATTTTACAACTCTTGATGATTATTGAGTTGTATGACATGTGGATAAAGTGCTAATAAAACTGTCACCAAAAAAAGGGTGTAGGGAAGCTCCAAAGTTTATTGTAATGATGATTGCTGTGGGAAGCTGAAACCTAGATGAAAATGTAAAGGGTCTAATCTCTAACTCATCACCATGGGGCTCAGGAGACTTTCACAGCTGCCCTCCTTTAAGATTCTAATGTAAAGCTGTCTTTTAGGGGTGCCTGGCTCCTGCTACTTGGCTGAAAGATGCCTATCTTTAAAAGCAGTCAAGCAAGTTCCATTTGTCTTTATCATGCTAGGAGTCAGCTTCTCCTTTGTTCTGTAGTTGCCTAGTACTTACAGTGAAGTCCAGATGCATTTACCTTCCCTGGGAACATATTCTTTACATATAACCTCTATAAATAGTTGCCTCTTACAAACATTGGGTTTCTCACGTGCATTGTTAGGAGGATGATTATTTTAGATTCACATTTTGCCCTTTCTATTGCATAGGTGTCTGATGAAGACTTTCACACTGGCTACTATGTATACTCACGGTTAAATAAACTGGCTCTCTTCCTCTTATTCCAACATTGGGATGAGAAGTTTCTGTCACCTCATCTCTTCTTATATGTTTTCCTTAATCTCACACGCTGCTCCTAAGGACCCGTTCAAATGTGGGCTGGATCCCACAGACTGCACAGTCCTTCATGATGTGATAGAAAATTATACGATGTTAATTATAGCTCAATAACAAAATTTAAGGAAAACAGTCTAGTGAATTTATTACATGAGGTAAAGAAGAATCAATAAATATTAATCGCAGAACATTTAGTGTCTACTCAGCAGTCTGCAATGTTCTACAGTATCTAAAAATGATTTCTGCCTTCAAGAAGCTTATAGTCGAGCTGAATAACCTCAAGTATCATGACCTGATAAAATGCTCTTTTGATTTAACCCTTGCCCAAAGTCAGAGATGATCATTTATAGAATTACAAACGCTGGAAAGTAGAAAAAAATGTGTATCTCAGAAGATGCTTACTTTTTAATGTGCCCTCCCACACAAAGAAGGGCTAACGTGCCAATTCTGGTTACTCAAACAGGAATATGATTAGGAAGTTGGTACTGTGTTTGTCTTTGAGAGATCACTTTATGACACTGGTGAATGGACAGGGTAAATGTGAGAGGGCTTAAGTTTAATGGATTTTGTAAATTAAAAAATGGGTTTTTTTTTGTTTCTTTGGTTTTTAAAAACTGGAAGCTTTCGTTTTCCCTAGGATAATGGAGGAACTAAACACTTCTAAGTTTTTGAAGAAATTTTTGGTAAAGATGTGATCAAATAACACTACGATTAGTGTGGTTTATTATTTGTATGCCATAACAAAAGAAGAGGTAGGGAAGAAGAGAAAAATGTGTCTTTGTAAGTTGTAAATTTAACTAGCCTCAACACTATTATCTCTAAATTGGTAGGAAGTTTTTAGTCCTGCTCTGAAACCAGCCCCCTCTCTTCTACTAGAGCAAGCAAATATGCGCGCACACACACACACACACACACACACACACGATTTAATTTCAAGTGAAGAAGCTAATGTGGATGAGAAACAGGGTTTCCTGCTTGCTCATAAACCCCAAACAAATTGATTGCCATCAACTCAATTCCAACTCATTCTGACCCAATAGGACAGAGCACAACTGTCTCATAAGGTTTCTAAGGCTGTAATCTTTACAGAACCAAACTGCTACTTCTTGATCCCACAGAGCGGCTGGTGAATTGGTACTGCTGACTTTTCTTTGCCACTTGATTCCTTTTGGGAGCCTCAGACCCAAAGGCTAGACAAAGTGAGGAACTACAAAATACACATGAAACAGTTATGTATTCTAAACTTGAAGCCCTCCAGAATATTACATTTAATGTATTAGGTTTTAAAAGTCATCTCATTGACACATTGGTCATTTATTAGTTTTTTTAAAAAGGCAAGTAAGTTTAAAACTAGTTTGTAGTTAACTAGTAGAAAATTTATATATATATTCCATCTGTGAAGAGTTATGTAGACAGTGGGAATTTTAAAAATTTGTGAGAAAAGTCCATTGACTTTTGTAGCAGTTACATAATCTGTCAACTTGAGGAAGGGGTGGAATCTAGCCTGTCAATCAGGTCACCATTTGATGACCTCATTTGGAGGCACAACAGAAATAAATAGCTCACTGAAGGTTAAACACACTCTCTTCTTGTCTTCCTGTTGACAAGCCACATGGAGATACACTGATGGAACCAGAGCCCTGGAGCTGGAGGAGCCATGTGGAGACCCATGCCAGTGCTGAGATGCTTCCACTTCCACTGGATCCACAAGACTTTTCACCCACTGGCCTACGATCCTCCTGCACTCAGCATCATTGCATATGCTGCGTGAGTCTGAAGAAGAACTTATAGACTAGAATTGGACATATAGGCTAACATTGGACTTATGGACTTGATCTGGACTGGGCTGGGATGTTTTCTTAATATACAATTATTCTTTACATCAGTGATTCTCAACCTTCCTAATGCTGTGACCCTTTAATACGGTTCCTCATGTTGTGGTGACACCCCCCAACCATAACATTATTTTTGTTGCTACTTCATAACTGTAATTTTGCTACTGTTATGAATCAAGTGACCCCTGTGAAAGGGTCGTTCGACCCCCAAAGGGGTCATGACCCACAGGTTGAGATCCACTGGTTTATATAAAGCTTTTTCTTATATACATAAGACTGTCTATGAATTAGTTTTTCTAGTCAACCCAGAATAACAATTTTTAATTCCATTTTCCACAAATATTTAAAGGATTCTCATATGTGCTATTGTGCTAACATTAATAAAAGCTCAGGTACTAATCCTTCGTGTGAAGTTGCTGATGCCTGATTAGAGTTGAACTCTGACTGAATGCTTTCCCACAGTCATTACATTTGTAAGGCTTCTCTCCAGTATGAGTTCTCTGGTGAATAATAAGGGATGAACTCCGGCTGAAACCTTTTCCACACTCTCTGCACTCATGAGGTTTTTCCCCAGTGTGGATTCTCTGATGTTCAATAAGGGATGAACTTCTACTGAACACTTTCCCACAGTCACTGCATTCATAGGGGTTCTCTCCACTGTGGATTCTCTGATGTTCACTAAGAGATGAGATCCAACTGAAAGCTTTCCCACATTCATGGCATTCATAGGGGTTCTCTCCTGTGTGTATTCGTTGATGCTGAATTATGGTTGAACGATCACTGAAGGCTTTCCCACATTCTTTACATTTGTAAGGTTTTTCTTGAGTATGAGTTCGCTGATGTTGGCTAAGGTTAGTGCTCCGACTAAAGGATTTGCCACATTCACTACATTCATAAGGTTTCTCTCCAGTATGGATTCTCTGGTGTAGACTAAGATGTGTACTCCGACTAAAAGCTTTTCCACACTCACTGCATTCATATGGTTTCTCTCCGGTGTGAGTTCTTTGATGTTCAATAAGGTGTGTACTTCGACTAAAAGTTTTTCCACATTCATTGCATTCAAAAGGCTTTTCTCCACCATAAATTCTGTGTACAATGAAGTCTGACTGGTAACCAAAGGACTTTATACATCCATTGCATTTACAAGGTTTCTTTTGTGGGAAGAGTTTCTGAAGTTTTATTAAGTCTGAATTATCTTTGGAGTTTTCCCTAGATACGTGCGCTCTATCTTCTTTTGAAAGGTTCTGCTGTATATCAGTGTGTGAGCTCAGACTAAATTCACTGGATTCAGGGTCTCTCCCTCCAGTAGAAATTTTCTTCAGGGTCACTGACACATTTTGTACTTCTGTTTTCTCAAAAAAAGTTTTCTTCTGTGTAATACTTTGTGTATGCTTTGTTAATTGGCCTTCGCTTTTACAGATGTCTCCATCCATATTTCCTCGGAGACTTTTCATTGCTCACCCTGAAAACATTAGTTCTTCAAAAACAGCCTGATTAGTGTTGATGCTTTGGTTTCCATTCAAATTCCCCAACCTGAAAGACATTTAAAGTGCACAGTTACCTGTGTCCATTGTGGGGACACATGAAGCCAAAATGCAGAACATTTCAACAAATTTTAAATTCATGTATATTAGCAATTTTAATCTGGGGAGAAAATTAAAAAGGCACAGTGGAAGAAATGTAAAGATGGTAGAAGAGTATTTGCAGTGGGTAAGGCCAAAGAAATCAAGACATATGGGAAGAGTGACTGAGTAATATGCTAAGTTCCTCTTCTTCCCCTATCCGCCCCCCACCCCCAATGGAAATACCTTCTGGTGAACAGAGATTAGGCAATTAAAAGGTAAAATGAGCTACCGAGGCCAATCAATCACAAGAATGCAAAAGGAAAAGGATTAGAAAAGTAAAGACTCTCAAGTATAGGAAAATCACACACATACATGCGCCAAAAATAAAGATGTCTTTATCAAACTTAAATGCAACTATTTTCTTGGACTATCTGAAGGAAGACACAATGTCATAAATACTAATTGCAGCACTGTGATGCCCCATCTACCTCTCAACTCTTCTTCTGACTAGTTTAGTTGTTCTTTTATTTATTTATAGTTTTTTTTTAGTTGTTCTTTTAAACAAATCTACAGTCATAGGCTCAGAGATTTAACTGAAGTCAGAGCTCAACTTGGCCAAGCTTGCTCGACAGACAGCCAGTTAAGTAACTTTACCAGGTCACCTAACAAATTTTAAGAGCTGAGTCTAGAACTGAAATCTCATAAATATCAGTTTGGTGGTCTTTTTAAGATACAACTCACTCAGACAGGATATTGGGACCTTCTCTTCTTCAGCTCTCTGAAGATTCAATATCCACAGTTGTTCTCCCTTCAATTTGATGATCATGTCCAATTCACGTACTGGGATTCCTACTAATTGGAAAAGATTAAACACAAGGTTGTTGGTCCTGGAGACACAGAACTATTCCAAGCTCACTCTCAATGCTTTGATACATTGTAGTATTAAATAAAATTGCGTTTTAGGAGGTGGAGGGAAGGTGAGGGGCCCAGCCCCCACCCGCTGCTACTCCTACGAGTTCAGTAATACTACTTTTGGGTTCAGTAATGCACAATTGTAC